CAAATAAAAACTCGTATATGTTCAGCATTAATAGCTTCAAAAATTTTGAAATCATTAGCACAATACGCCCTCGATCATCAATCAAAACACACATTAAATAATGAAGCTGATGAAAATGTTACATGTTTGCAAATGGCGATTGCGGCTGATAGTAAGAAGTTTCTATATGAAGACGCATGCGATGCTCTATTGACATATATATGGTACGATAAATTGGATCCTTTGGGAGAACGATATCGCCTAATCTATATATATAAAGAAGAATGTTTGTCTGTTTGTCTGTTCGCTATTCACTTGGACACGGTATGAGCAAATGCAATGAAATTTTACAGGAAATACCCTTTCGCCCAGGGGGGTCATAGGGTGGTTTTCGACCCAAAACCTTCACTTGAGGGGAGGTGTTTGCCCCCTCCTTTTGTTGAATTACTACAATAAATGCCTTTTCTAGAGAGTCTGTGCGTGTGATTGTGTCTACCTATATACCATAAGGAAAAAACGTGCATATGAGTCTTTTTTTCTAGCTCACAATAATGGCATATTCGTTCTTTTTCTTGACTCACAATGATGACGCATCAGTTCTTTTTCCTGACTCACAGTGGTGCCGGATTAGTGATAAAACTGTTTTTCAGTACAGATAGATTTTTTTAAACCTTCTACTGTGTCAAGGATGTACTATCAAATTTCCCGGGCAACGCCGGGTACCTCCGCTAGTAATTAATATATTCACAATGGGTATTTCACAAATTGTCTTCTCTATCTACGATAAAAGTTCTAATCAAATTCAAATAACCGAACAAGAATCTAATGTAAGTTTAAAAATTTTCATCGTCGTTATGAATTAATACTGTACACATCTGTAGAAAACTACACGACCATCTCCACAACGACCGTAATATATATATATATAATTCTTCATTGTTTTAATATGATTTTACGATTCATTTTTTAGTTTAAAAAGTCATGGAATCAATTATACGAATGACTATCAATCTTATGAATCC